TTTAATATGACGTCATACCAATCCTTAGTAACGTTTGATGACGTAGGCGAAAATTTAAAGTACGTTTAGTATGCCTTTAAAGTGAAATACCTCAAAAATTATTCATAAAAAAGGACGAGACAAATTTGTAAACTTTACGACAAATTACAACAAATTAAGCGACAATTAATAACGTCATTAGTTTTTTGTTATCTCCGTTCTATGCCATAGATTCCCACCGTCAAGTTAACACTACCTCAAAAGTGCAATCCTCAAAAATTATTCATAAAAAAGCACGTGACAAATTTTTAAACTTTACGACAAATTACAACAAATTAAGCGACAATTAATGACGTCCTTAGTTTTCTGTTGTCTAGGTTCTATACCATAGATTCCCACTGTCAAGTTAGCACTACCTGAAAAGTGCAATACCTCAAAAATTATTCATAAAAAAGCACGCGACAAATTTTTAAACTTTACGACAAATTACAACAAATTAAGCGACAATTAATGACTTCCTTAATTTCTTGTTATCTAGGTTCTATACCATAGATTCCCACTGTCAAGTTAGCACTACCTGAAAAGTGCAATACCTCAAAAATTATTCATAAAAAAGTACGCGACAAATTTGTAAACTTTAAGACAAATTACAATAAATTAAGCGACAATTAATGCAATAGTTTTTTTTATTCAAATTGCAAGATGTAGTGCCAACTTGACAGACGTGGAAAATGTTGAGGGATTCCGAGCATTGGGATTTCCAGTAGATTCATGGGACTTCCTCTTATTCAACATGCTAATTCATAAAATAAACAACAATGTTAAAATTCAGTTTGAAACGGAACATAGCTCATCAGAAATTCCAACTTATCTGCAATTAATAGATTTCTTGGCAAATAAAGCCAAGGCTTTAGATTCTGTCCTACTGACCTCCCGTACCAAAGGTTCTATTAATCAAAAAACCTCCTTCTCAAAGGGTTCCAAACCGATTTCCAAGCCAATTCAATCGACCTTTGCTACGGAACTTCAATGAAAACCCAATTGTATTTTATGTCAAGCAAATCATACGGTTCGAAATTATTTCTAACAATAAATATTGTAAGAATTGTTTGGGATGTCGTCACCAAACTAGCAAATGTAATTCAAGCAAAAACTGTCGAGTATGTAATAAACGTCATCAGTCATCATACGCTGTTACATTTAATTCAAATTACACAAGATAAAACCTCACCCGTTGCCAGTACTTCGAATCTTCACAACACCGTCGTCGCTTCTATCACAAACACGGTCGCATCTATTCTCCTTCCTGTTGCTGAACTAGATATTCAGGATCGCTTCGGAAGATACCACAAGGTACGGGCTCTTATTGACTCCTGCAGCATGATTAATTTCATCACCGATAGCCTTCAGAAACGACTACAACTTACTCGCAGTATTCGATCAGAACCCATTGAGGGATTGAACAATATGACTTCGAACTCCAACAATGAAACCGTTGAATATCATATCAAACCTTGCGACGCTCATCAACCTACATTGCCATTTACAGCTGTCATAAGTAACCGCATCTGTTCAGATCATCCCACTGTGTCTATTGACGTTTCGAAATATCCCCATTTACAAGATCTTAATCTGCGCAAACGTCAAACTTTACCAGGGCTAATCGACTTATTATTGTTATAAGTTTCGACGTAGAATCTCCATTCACCAGGGTACCAGTCAAAGATGCTGCGGATAGTCTTCGCCAGAAAGTCATCCCGGAGGGGTTGCCGAAGTATATCCCAGGACTAGTGGAGTACTGACTATCGTCGACATATCTTAGCTGGAAAGGAGAGTTCCACGAGCACTGCGAAGGGGCAGCCATGGGATCGCCTCTGTCACCTGTGATTGCCAATTTTAACATGGAGATGTTTGAAGAGGAAGCGTTAAAGAAGAGTCCGTGGAAACCGAACCTATGCCTCTATTACGTTGATGACACTTTCGTGATCTGGCAACATGGAAAATAGCAACTCCAGGAATTTCTAGACCACCTCAATTCACAATATCCCATGATAAAATTTACCATGGAAACAGAAACTGCAAAACAGTCGCCTTTCCTGGACGTGTTGGCCACTAGGAAGACAGATGGGGGCATGGAACGAAAGAAGACGGATACGAATAGATACCCGCAAGCTTCATCCCACCACCACCTACAACAGAAGAGGTCCGTGATTCAAGCCTTATTCCAGCGAGCAGAGAGGATGTGTGATAAAGAGAACGTGAGGAAAGAAGAAAGATTCCTAGAAGATGTGCTGCAGAAGAACGGTTATACGATGAGGGATATCCAACGAGCTACAAACCACGCAAACAGAAGGATGACTCGGTAAGTACGATACCAGCCGGTTTTATCTGCCCTCATTATATTTTAGGTGTGACGGAGCGAATTGCGAGGTGTCTGAAGAAGAATGATATAGTGGTACGATACGGTAAGGCCAGCAAAATACAAAACGCTCTTCCTATAGCCAAAGACAAACTAACCCCATTAAAGGGAGCGGAAGTCTATCGGCTATCGTGCAGTTGCGGGAAATATTACGTTGGCCAAACTGGGAGTAACATTGAAAGCCGCATCAAGGAACACGAAAGAGATGTCCGACTGAGTAAAATCCACCAATCTGTAGTCGCAGAACATTGCCACAAAGGAGGACATACCATAGAGTTTGAAAAAATCAAAGTGTTATCAAGAAACGGACATTACCTCCAAAGATTGACGAGAGAGGCGAGAGAAATTCATGATTAATTAATGAAACACAAAATGTGTGAAGAATTAATATTTATGAATTTGTTTATCTGCACTATCGGTTTCGAAAAGTTACTTTCGTCTTCAGGCGCAACGTCTGAAGACTAACTTTTCGAAAGCAGCGGTTAAAAACGAACTGAATCAGGTCTTTCGAGTGCGGCGGTGGTTGACGCGTTAACGAATCGCAGGAAATATGCGGTAGGAAATGTGCGAAGATTAGATAAGAGGAAATCGCTCGTAGATGATGAATAGGAATAATACATTTAATTAAAAAAATAATATATTTAATGAGTGAAATAAATGTAATAAATTTACCGGACGGACTGTTATATTTTTAATATTTAAATTTGCTGAGTGCTTAAAGGCGTGCCTCCCGTCGCTTGAATGCGCGTGCGCAGGAAATTAGGAATATTTCTAATAAAACTTCAGCCAACTTAAATACAACTAACTTTATTTTGTTTACATAAAAATCCAGTTCATCTGCTTTATTAAAACCTAATGTTATTGACATAGAGTTATTTACAAACTGATCTATATTTGATTAATCATACCAGTTAAAGGAACATATTTGAAAACTCGATCATGTAAGATTAAACAGTAGAGGGAAGTAGCATTAGGTATCTCTTCACTCGTTTCAAATTCAATGCGAATATAAACGGTTCCAACATTTAAAATATCATTTTGCCGTGAACAATCAGTTACAATAATCGGTGTATGTGCTAAAAATGTCTCTGTTAAATATTAGTTCTGCAAGTTCTCGATCGTAATAGGTCTTTGCGAAATTTATGACGCCAAATGCGTTAAAAGATTTTAAATCAAAACAAAAAAAATTAACGAAATTTTCAACAAGGACAAAACTAGTTTTATCACCCTGAGATGTACGCGAGTACTCGACCGGCTCAGTGAAGAAGGGAGGGGTATTTATATGGCGCCACACAGTTAACCCCGCGTACAACACGAACTGTGACGTGAGATGATGGAGTATGGTGATTTAAACAAATAACATAACAAAACATAAACGCTCAACAAAATAGGTTTTGAGTTGCAGACAAAAATTTATTAAAACTCCCGTAAATAACAGGTAAGTAAAAAAAAATAAACTAATAACAAAATTATAAAACCGTAAACTTTTAGGTTCAAAACAACAACAAAAAAAAAACTATATTGATGTTTGCGAGCTTTTAAAAAAAATGAAAGTCAAAACTGAAAGGAAATTTAAATCAAAATACCAAAAAAAATGAAAATGAAAAATTAACCCGCGTCTGACTCCGTAGAGTTGAGCTCAACGTGAAATCAAAAATTATATAAAAAAAAAATCAACACCAAAATAGAATTAAAAAAAATCTCTCCAAACAAGAATTTACAAAAAAAAAATGAAATATAAAAAAAATTGAAAAGGTTTAATGTTCCAAAGATTAATTATCTTAAAGATTTTCTTAAGGAAAATCAAATAAAAAAAAAATCTAAAATACAAATTCTTCAATGACCAAGATAATAGTATGTTGTTCTATCTGACCTTTACTCCAAGTCTTGATCACCGACCCGATTCGAAATAAATCCTCAGCAACAAATTCTTGTGACTCAGGAAAGGTAAGGTAATATTCTTTGTTTTGTTCCAAAAAAAATAATTATAATCCTTAGGATGTAATGGAAATTATACCCTTGGACAATGGTTCCAAAATACCAATAAAAAAAAGGTTGTCCAATAAGAGATGCCAAAAGTTGCTCCCCTCAATAAAAACCTCTGATGTTCGAGGTTTAACCAGAGGACAGAAGAAAATGTAATGAAATACGTTGAAATCCGGAATCTCCGTACAATTTGGTAAAAGAAAAACACTTTTCCAAAACTTTATTTCGAGTGATGAATCCCACAAATATGGATTAGAAACAAAATTTTACACCAAAACCAAAAATGGCGAACCAACCAAAATTTCTCTAACACTCGAAAACACGTATTGCTCTGGTAATATAGTAAGAAAGAGAGAGGCCAAGAAGAAACTTGAACGGTCTTTTATACCCAAAAATCGAAAATATCAAAAAAAATTACGTCTGCGCAAGATAACATCATGAATTTACGACACCCTCTCAAAAGCAAAAAGGAGAATTTTAAAGTGATAGGAGTTAAAAGGAAAAAAAAGGAACACTCAGAATATGTTGCTGAAAGAGAAAACAATAAAATGTTATAAACAAACAAAATGTAAACAAAATAAATAAAAATAATAATAAGTTTCCGAATGTATGCAACTCATAACCCATTACACATAAACAAGTCACCCACACATAACATAAAAATTTCGGAATGTAACAAATTACAATACATTTCATATAAAACTGCAATTTGACCTGTCTTAAAATTTAAATTTAAAGCTTCATAGGGATATTTCTCACTATTTAAAAACACTTTCATATCTGTTAAATTACAATGATCAAATAGAGATGCTGAAACTTTTGCATCATCTTTTCTATTGGTTTGAAATCCTAATATTAAGTAACGAGGTTTTTCCAATTGTGTAGATGTTTTAATTGTCCATGTATGTTGTTTACTTTTTGGTAATGATGGGTATTCATGTAAATCAAATGATATAAAGCCCGTGTCTAATTCAATTCCTTGTTCTATGTACTCTAAAAGTTTTAAACGTTCAACATCGGCTACAGAAACAAGAGGGACTTTCCATACTATTTTATTAATATTAAACATCACATTAGGTAAAAGACTTTCAATAACATTCTTATCTGAATTACTGCGTACTAGAACTAATTCTTGATGGAGATTTATCAAAATTTTATTATAATCTTCTGCGAAACCAAGAAAATATTTCAAGGGGACACAAAAATCAAAATCTCCTGTATTTTCATTTACTTTAACATTTGGATATTCGAAACGTGCATTAGAGGCATGATAGTATTCCGATCTTGTTAATGAGCAAAGATTTTTTAATGTGCTAGCTATTCCTGGATTTCTTACTCTGTCAATTACGTTCCCTCCACCTTCAAATCGTACTTCACTGAACATATGAGCAATCGGATTTACTGATAATTTTGAATCTTTATCAACGGTTCCGCCATCTTTCAATAGATTCCCTTGTACGTAAATAAAAGATTGACTTGGTAACGTGTAAACATCCTATTGTTGAATTGCAATACGAAGTTCATCGCTATTGTTAAAAGAATTTGATGAGTATAGTAAATGATTATGATACTGAATCCGTACGAGTGAATTATCAAATTGTACTTTATCAGAGACGTTTAAGATACTCATATTGAATATTATTTTATTAATTGTAAACCTAATGATTCAAGAAATTGTTTGTTTTGAGGTGTTAACTGTTTCACAGTGTGAGGCATATATATTAAATTGTGGGGAGTTTCTGATATTTTATAACCTTTAGGTACTGTAGGGAAAAATGAGTAGATAGTGTGCGCAGGTATGTCGTTGTGATAAGCTCCATGTGTTATGCTACATAGTACTTGTATAGAATTTACTTTAAATATATCTACAACAAATCTCTGGTAAAACAAATCTGATAATTAGCTTATTACAGGATCCTAATGGACTATCCTTTAGAAATGTGTATGTGTATTCAAAATCATTGTATCAAAGCAAATATGAATATTTGAGAAAATTGCTGCAGCCTATAAAAGGTTTAGGATATTATGAGTATAGCAGTAGTGATAACATAATGCATCCTTCCAAAGCGAATGAAGATTCGGTTTTTATACTTGGTGATGTAGCATACGACAAACAATCAATTATACGTGATTATTTTTGTATGGGACGACATAAGGCAATAGATAGTTTTTATTTATGTCAGAGTTACACACATATTCCAAAGCATTTAATACGTGATAATGCAAACTTGTGTTGGAAAGATAGATTCGAATTTTTTGTAATCAGTAAGGAGGACGATATGAACAATGGTAGATATCGTAATGGGTTTCATTACTATATAAAACTGTGATTGTGTATGTTTCCATATCAGTCACGTTAGTGATACGAACAGGTGGAGAGCTGCATTTACCCGGCTATCAGTTCTGTAGACCTGGGACAAATCTCATGAAACGCTTAGCACGTGGAGATCCTGACATTAATGACCTTGATAGAGCATGTAGACGTCATGATTTAGCCTATACACAATACACAGATTTACACAATCGACATATAGCAGATAAGGTATTAGCTGAAGAAGCATGGAAAAGAGTTGTTTAAATTCAAACTGGATTCAAAATATTTTCCAGTTTGAATTTAAATTTAAAATGCGTCACCAAATATTTTTGTACATGCGCATTATACAGCCTGATTCAGAGTAAGCGCCTCACTATTAGCCACACTATGGGTACTACTTTCAAAATATTTGGCAGTAATATGTTTTAGCACATTCTCTACACGATGGTGATACCAGATTTTCAATTGGACGAATTATTTCAAAATGGCGACTGTCAACTTTTTTTTTTAAATGGAATGCCAACATTTTTTTTTTATTATTGAGATCATAAACGCTTACTCTGAATCAGGCTGTATATTGTTCTCTTACGAAGAAAAAATAAAAAAGAAAAAAGAAAAACCTGAACTCAGACCATCTTGTAACAGTTGTCACAAAAGACGTCCATGCGGAGTTAAATCTTTAAAGATTTAAAAAATTTTTACGTTTATTTTAAGTAAATTATGTGACAATAATAATTTAATTTGTTCACCGCTTTATGTTTTCGATGTTAATTTCCTGTAAAATTCATTGACTTGTAAGTATTTTTTAAAAAACTTTTTATTGTTAATTCACATATTTAAATTTCACTTATTGATTAAAAATTGTTAATTCTTGTAGTTGTCTCTGATGATGGCTTTTTGCCGAAACTAGTTAGACAACAAAAATATAAATAAACCAGTAAAAGTACAACAAAATTCGAAATTTTTTCTATCACGTCAAATTTTATTTATTGGAATGATCCTTTTAATAGCCTCTCAGCTTGCCGGTAATACGTCACATGGTAATGAAATTAATATTATTATAGAAGAGTTACGAGAAGCTCATATAAATTATTAAAGAAGCTTCATATTAATTACCGTTCGCGCGGTAATTAACCGGAAAACTTTAATAAGGTGGTGGTTCTCTTATTGAAGATAAATGATAATAAATATCAAGAAATTAATTTGGGTAAAGTGAATTTTATTTAACTGATGACGAGAATATATATAAATATATAAATACCTTAAGTTAGGATGAATGTGCATGTGGGTGGACGTTGCAAGAGAGAGATCTTATAGGTGGAACAAACCCTTTTATATAAAAATCGTGCAAACAAAGTTGCCTAGGTAAACAAATATAAAATAAATAAATATATAAGGGTTACTTGAACATTCCACCCACCAAAATTATATAAATTAACAAAATTATAATTTTAAAAGGAAAACAAAATAAAATAAAATGATTAGAAATTTGAACATTACAAGCAATTTCAACCGCTAGATGGCGAGAGCGGTAACAAACACAACTTCGTTACGGGTCTTATTAGCGTGGTGTGTGCGGGCGTCCTTAATGTTCCCACCCGAATTCGGCCGTCTTCTCCGGGATGTAATTTGGAAACGTGTCCCTTTATCCAATTCAATGGTGATGTTCGTTCATCTTTCACAAGGACCAAATCTCCCAGCTGAATTGGTGGTATATCTTCAATCCACTTGTTGCGTTGTTGAAGGGTATGTAAATATTCGCGATGCCATCGCTCCCAAAAATCCTGAATCATCCTTTGGAGCAGAGTCCAACGAGTTAAACGATTTAGGGTCGGTTCTTCAGTCGCTAGATAAACTCCAGTTAAGTAAATCTCGGTATAACTTGAAAAGTCAATTCTCGTCAGTTTAAAGATCGATATATCGAGAACCGTCCGATGAAAAAAATTGCGGTTAGCTTTGTTGTATTCACTGAATATTTCTACGTAACATATGTGAATTTGAAAATTTTCGACTCCGCGGTTTTCCTAAAATCGCGAGTTAAATGAAAAAAGTTGTCTATTTTTGACGGTGCCGGCAACTTTGTCCACTTTGCGATTTTTTTTCTCAAAAACTATCAGACGAAAAAAATGAACAGGTGATACCCTGATGTGTTCTTAATGATGTGCATATTTAATTTTTTCGATATTCCATATAGTTTCGCGGAAAATCGCGGTTTAGTAAGATGCGGTATAGTCGAAAACGGCTGGTTGGATTTTAACGCGGTTTTAACCAAAATATGGCAAATAATTTGTGTTTGTCGAATCCTGTTATTGGGTTTTCAAAATTTTGTCTCCATAATTTTTTTAAAACAATTTACGCGTGCTATAAATTAAAAAGAAACAGAAATAAGCCATGCGGGGGGAGAGGGGTTCCGTTCAGTTGGAAAAAGTGGTACTGGTTGTGTTCCAGACTGGCTTCGACGTGGCGTATTGAAGTCTGAAGGGATTCCGGTGGTGTCCGGTAGTTCCGTCTCATCGTCAGAATGTAACAGACGCTCAAAGACGCATTCCGCGCCCTGGAATATTTTTCGTATAATTATTTTGTATCTGTTTGTAATATTTATTTATTTAATTTTACATTCGCGCGTATTTTTTTCAATATCTTACAATATATTACATGGTATATGCGTGAATGGTAAAGGTAAAATGAAATAAACAAATACTACAGAAAAATACAAAATAATTATACATATATAATATGTAATTATTCTATGACGTGTCTTGAGCGTCTCTTACGTTCTGATGCAAGGTCTACCGGAATCCCTTCAGACTAGACTTCAGTACGCCACGTCGAAGCCAGTCTGGAACTCACACCAGCACCATCTTTCCCAACTGAACGGAACCCCTCTCTCCCCGCATGGCTTATTTCTGTTTCTTTTTAATTTATAGCTCGCGTATATTGTTTTAAAAAAATTAATGAGACAAAACTTTGAAAAACCCATAACAGGATTCGACAAACACAATTATTTACCACATTTTGCTTAAAACCGCGTTAAAATCCAACCAGCCATTTTCGACTATACCGCATCTTACTAAACCGCGATTTTCCGCGAAACTATATGGAATATCGAAAAAATCAAATATGCACATCATTAAGAACACATCAGGGTATCACCTGTTCAAATTTGAATTTTTTTCGTCGGATAGTTTTTGAGAAAAAAAATCGCAAAGTGGACAAAGTAGTCGGCACCGTCAAAAACAGGCAACTTTTTTCATTTAACTCGCGATTTTAGGAAAACCGCGGAGGCGAAAATTTTCAAATTCACATATGTTACGTAGAAATGTTCAGTGAATACAACAAAGCTAACCGCAATTTTTTTCATCGGACGGTTCTCGATATATCGATCTTTAAACTGACGAGAATTGACTTTTCAAGTTATACCGAGATTTATTTAACTGGAGTTTATCTAGCGACTGAAGAACCGGCCCTTAGAGGCTGATTTGTGACATCTGGATCGGGGATTTGAGCCCCCAGAGGCCCTAAAACTAAAAAATGCGCCGGGGTTAAGGGCAACGGATCATTCCGTTCATCTGATAATGGAGAAAGGGGTCTGGAATTTAAAACGGCTTCTATTTATGCTAAGACCGTAATTAATTATTCGAAGGTAAGGATTTGTTCGCCGATAACCCGTCTAAGGTGATTCTTTACCGATTTGACACCAGCTTCATACAAGCCATTAAGATGAGGCCCTCCGGGTGAATTGAAACACCATTTAATGCCGAAGGTGGTCCCTGTTGCCTGCGCCATTTCCTGAAGCCGGTTGTTCGCCCCCACAAAATTAGTACCTTGGTCAGAAAATATCTTTGAACAGTGTCCCCTTCGAGATAGAAATCTTCTTAAGGCTGCTATGAATGCGGATGTGGAAAGATCTGAAACAGCCTCCAGGTGTACGGCTTTAGAGGACGAACAGACAAATATACAAATATACGACTTAACCAAACGATTGCCTCTTGCTCTCGTCATCTTAGTAAGGATGGGTCCAGCAAAGTCGACGCCGACCACGGTAAATGGTTTAAGTTGCATGACTCGGTAATCCGGTAGATCAGCCATCAATGGACTGTACGTTTTGGGTTTTGCACGAAAGCAACATATGCATTTGGATAACACTCGGTGAATAGCACGTCTCGGAGAAAGTATCCAAAACTGTTGTGCCAAGATAGAAGACAGAGTTTGATGTCCTGACTGTAGAAACTCACGGTGAGTATCTTCAATTATTAGATCGCTTAATCTTGTATTGCAGGGAAGTAATAAGGGATGTATCTGTTCAAAGGGCAATT